ACCACTTGACCACTTGCCCACTTGCCTACCTTCTAGAAGGTCTACAGCTAAGCTTCCAGAACTCACTAAGACTCCTACAGTATAGACCTACAGATCGAACCCCTGCTGTCTATGGACCTACGACAGGTCTACCAACTGCATACAAATACACAGGTCGCATGTTCAATTCTCGGGGTCTACACAGATACTGTACATGGGTAGGGTGAGGTCTAGGGATCGAACCCTGGGTACTGCATCCGCTACTGCTAAAAGGTGCAAACCGTTTCAAGTCTATTGTTCACTCTTTTTTTTTTTTTTTTTCCCTCTCATTTTTTTGAAAAGGGCAATGGCCTTCAGATATCATCATTCAACTGACCGGCCCCAGGTAATGCAGAACGATGTTATTCTGGTCATTTTGTTTGCTATTGTGTTATTCTGGTCATTTACGTTGCATCCTGGATTCGAACTCAAGTCTGTATTTCAACAGCTCATTGGTGTACCAACTGGGCTAGGCCCGTTGGTGTTCAGTTACTGTTCATTCTTAGTTCTATTGAATCTCTATTCCAGTATTTGCGAGATTCTTCTTCTTTGTGTAATACCCATCAAATGTGAGCACTTCAACTTTAGCACCCATCAAATAATATGAGCACGTGAAAGTATCTTATTTCATTCTTTCTTCTTCTTCTTCTTCTTCTTCTTCATTCTTCATTCTTCATTCTTCATTCCATTCTATACCAATTCATTCCTCTATTCCATTTCCCTTAGTCAATCCCGTTATCCGATTCCATTTTTCCATTACATTATTCCATTTCGTTATTCTGTTGCAGTACTTGCTGTCCTGATCTTATCATCATTTTTGCCCCGTGTGTGTGACCAGATTGGAGCTGGCGGAATGCATTGCTGACCCAAAATGTGCTGCTAATGTGGCCTGCTTGAACTCTTGCAACAATCGCCCGGATGAGACTGAATGTCAGGCAAGTATTGCTGATTTAGTCAGACTCTTGGACATGTTGTTGTCATCCTTTTTACATCCTCCTGGTCTTGCATGGTGTACTCACATTTGGTCAGTTTTCTGGAGTGAATCGGGGGGTATTGACGGTCAGGTACATCCAGGATGTGCTAGTTTTAGTAAGCGCTTATTCATTCAACGCATCATGACGGAAGCCATTGCTGGACTTCTGGAGTATGACATTGATTGGTGATCATGTTGATATTTTATTATTTTCCTTGTCAGTCATTTTGCGAATCGGATGCGAAGCATAGAGCACACAGAAGTGCAGAATAGGAAACACACATACCCTAAACAGGAAAAACACCACAACAGGAAACTGAAACATAAGTTTGGAGCTGAATATGCGCAGTTTCTGGCTGAATGGTGCACGCATGGAACTGGTTTTCTTTTCTTTTCGCCATTTCTTGTTTTTTGAAGTACCTTTTTTCAAAAAAAAGGCAACGGCTTTGGAATATCACCGTGGAACTGACAGCCCCCAGGTAATTCAGAAGTTCATTCAAACTTGTTCCATCTGGATTTGAGCTTACGTCTGCATTTCAACAGTTCATGCGCAATAACCCATGCCATATGACTCGTAGAAAGTCGGAGGGCCTACTTGGCCGCCCTCAGCCCAGGCCAAAACGGGGGAAAAAGACCCCACATGCAAATTCAGGGCCTGGACGTGAGACAGTTGACTTTTGTCATCTGTCGTGACACCAACACTCAAAGTCCAAAGGTACCCAGCCCAGGCCGCCGGTCAAGCACACACACTTGTTTGTATGCAGGTACCCAGACAGCATCAGGTCCAAGGGGAAGTCTGCAACTGTACACAATCGGGGCCCTCGGCTGTGAGGCAATCTGGACGACTGAGGGAACAGGACTCGAGCGAGGCCAGACAGCCTCGTCAAATGCTACTTAAAGCCTGGCCTCGAGGTGGTCAGCATTCAGTCTTGCTATGCTGCTTTGACGCTGGCTCCACTTTGACTAGACGCTGGCATTTATGCTGGCGCGACGCTAGCTAGAGGCTGGCTGTGCACAGGCGTTGCGGACGACGGCACGAGGTGGAGGCAGCATGCTCGCGCTTCTTGCTCTGTGCGCCAGGCTACGCTGATGTGGCGCTGCCTCTGGTCTACATTGCATGATGATGTGGCGCTGCCTCTGGTCTACATTGTATGATGATGTGGCGCTGCCTCTGGTCTACATTGGATGAT